CAATAACCACCACCACCACTACTACTACTACTACTACTACTACTACCACCACGCACTACCACCTTCACCACTATTAGCAGTAACAGCAGCAACAACACCAACACCAACACCAAGATGAACGGCACAGGAGCCAGCGTCCTTACATGCGTAAGCGACAAAAATCTCCACTCAACGGAGAAGATTCTAGGTGTGGGACTCGGGTGCGGCGTGGGGATGCTCTTGTTGGGAGCCTTCTTGGCGCACGTCTTCTGGCTGTGGCGGTCCAGCCACGAAAGAAAGTATGCCTACATTCTAATAAAAAAGTCCTTTCTTATGTTATCATCACTTCAACTTCAACTGTATAGTCTAACAGATAGAATCTATATAGACGCTCGATCCCGACAATGGCAATGAACGATCGGAACCCAGAAGACTTCTGGACCACGAGAAAGATGCTTGGTTTACCTGGTATATGATGCAAATAAACCCACCCACCCTAAAGTAGCTAATAATGAGAATCAGTTGAAAGAATATTTTCGAACTAAAGTGCTCAGAGGGACGCCACAAGCTCCAGAAAGAAGCAGTCGAATCGTTGGAGCTACGGTTCGAACGTCAAGGTGAGACATTAATCTGCTCAAGAACAACTTGAGGCCAAGATAGCCACCGGCGCGGCTCTGCCGTCGGAAATATCGTCGACCTCTTTTTGTGGTTTGCGATTTTGTCTCTGTCTATGCTGAGGCGTTGGGTTTTTGTTTTACACGCTGAATCGGGTGAGACCTGCCGATGAGGCTGATGGCGAAACAAGCTGAAAGGCAATCAGGTTTTCTTGAGCTTTTCTTCAGCCTGCTGGTTCAGGCTCACCTTTGCCTATAGATATATGCACTCTCTCATTCCTGAAACAGTCCTATCCAAAGTCCCTTGAAAATTGTCTATATTCGAAGTCCATCGGAATTCCGAGAAGCTCATCTCGGACTGCAACCATCAATTACCAATATGTACATAGTGCCAATTCCGCCACGTCCTGGGGCTATCGCAAAGGGGCTTCTATGAGGAAGCCCGGGCAACAGCGAGACTGCGGTAGAAGCTACATGGCGATGCACCTCGCGCTTCGGGCACGAGAGCACGGAAAGTGATATTCTCAGGCTGAAAAGATGGGAAGGGTTTGGATCAATACCAAGTACACATTCCAATCCGATTGACTGTTAGTAGCGGGTAGATAATCTATAGGAAGGTATCGTACAGTAGACTCCCACTTATCCCTCAGTTCCAACCCTTCATTCTATCAAGGACGGGGATGAGTGACGAATTCAGCTACGTGACGCTATCTGAAGAACTAGCTAGAAACCACCAAGGTAGGCGGGGAGCGACAGCCTGGCAGCCTAAGGCCATCCCCCGTGCACCTGCCTGCTACTCGTCTGATCGGACATCTCAGGCTGCCTCTACCGACCTCCCTACCTTCAGCTGTTTCAAGTGATCCCTTGTGTCTCGTCTGGCATTGCCAACCCCTTCTTACAGGGGGCTTCATCCCGGTCAAGATCCTTGCTGTTGAATGGTCTGTCTTCTTCTCCTTCAGAAGCCGGAAATAACACTGAAACCACCTTTGGTTAGATGAACTCATCCGATCGAGTTGCTAGACTTTGTTTTGTCTTCGGGGATGCACTGTCCTTTTGTCTACGTTTTAATGACCCCCGCTTGCGTGGCGGGACAAAATCCTCCACCCTACATTGTTCGCCGTCGCCCTACATTTGGCTTGCGGTATTTAACTCTCACCCTGATGACCTTCCTCGCTACCCTCCTGATCAAGAGGCAGTAACCTCTGTTCCCGGTTTAATACTCCCATCAAATGCGATTTCACATTGTGCACCAAATCTTTACCCCGCATAACGTTCCCCACGGCCCAAGATGAACGGTACTGTGCCCGCGGCAGGATTCCCGGCATGGCAAATCGAGCGCTAGTACGGGTCAGAGAAAAAGGCCTCAGAGGTCATGGAACCTCGCCTAATTTACCGGAGAGAAAAAGCTAGAGAGCCAAGGCGACGATATGAGACTCTTAGCACCGGGAAAGAAGTAACTGCAAGCTACTTGAAGCTTTGCTACGGTTTTGCCGTACGAACAGTAGACAGCCCCCCCCCCCCTCCTTGAGGGCTTCTGCGGCCCAAATCATCGTCTTCACCACGGCACCCTCATTCCCGCTGCTGGCCATGATCAAAGCATGATACACCATCATCTTGCAAGGCAAGTGCGTGGAAGACCTCAACAGACAATTGAATAGAGAGCAAACATTGCAGATATACATACATCCATTTCTGGCTCGCCGAGCAGCCGCAGGAATCCTAGTACCATAACATCAACCTCATTGACCCGTGTATCTTGAAACTATGAGCTGCTTATAGATGTAATGAACATCAGTGTGTGACTCATATGGAAGGTCCTTTCAATTGTGATATTGGTCCATGTCGATGGGTAGGTCAAATAAGTATTGGAGATAACCCCTGGCCTGAAGAGCTCCTGCCGGCGGCCAACCCGCAAGCGCAGACCGCCTCGATATCGGCAAGGAGGGCCCGGGGTATGCTCAACTTGCTCGTAAGGGTACTGGGCCAAAAGTCAGTCCGCTTGTGATTGAAGAAGGAGTCAAACTAGGCCGAACCCGTGGCTCTTTCCATCGTGGACGAGCTGGCTACCGTCCTTTTCAATCGCCGACTATATGCTTGCTCCCTACAGGTGCACGAGGGACTGACGCATGTTTGTGGCGAATCAATTTTCCATTAGCTCGGGTGGAATGTCCTCCCGGCGAAGATGCTCTGGAAACGTGATGCACTGCTTAATTCCGACCGACACCGTCATCGTGAGCTCTTCAGATGACCGTATACTCGCCCAGAGCTTCGAATCCATCCTACGACCAACAATGTTCAGCATTAAAGCCTACGCCAAACAAACCTATACAACCAGCAAATGCCACTCCTTCGATCCCTAGCAGTAAAGGCGGGAATGATACGCACTCCAATAGACCGAGAGAATAAGCTGGAGCGTGAGGGTCGCTGGCTCGAGGCCCAGAAACTGCGCTTCAAGCAGTTTGAGAGATGCGCTCCCGAGTATGGGCATTTGTTGCACATCCACAACCTCATCAGGGCGGATCAACGAGTATTGTTTCAAGTGTTGGCTCGCGCAGCTTTGCGAACCGAAGACGATTCCTCTTCGATGGAACACCAGCTAAGGCTCTCATCTTCCTCCTCGTCCCCCGCCACGCCAACGAAAGTCGCGTCACTGGAGTCCGAGCTGCTGCAGAAATCGACAGAGCGAGAATGGCGGTCATCCAACGATAATACGCCAAGACAAGTCCCTAATCAGTGTCTGGACGGAAGTCGCGAAGCGATCTGGGTGGCGGAACACTACCGATGTGATAGGCTTTCAAAACTCCCGGACGGGCCTGTGAAGCGAGCCTATTTATCCCTCCATAAGCATCCCAGCTGGCACCTTTCAGACTGGCAGCGAAGCGAATGTGCGGCTCGCGGCGGATGTTGCGCGCGGAAGTGTGGTTGTTGTACAAGATCCAGGTATGGGCATCCATTTAGAGTCACGGGGTTGCAAAGTGATCTGACTTAGTCGACCTCGTGTTGTACTGATCCAACTCCAGATCCTGCGATCTCGCGACACCGTACTATGGTCATTGTCTCTCACCCTGCCCATGTTGTGCCAAGGCCCGAGGCTTCACCATCTTACCGGATACTATTTACGAGGATAGGATGCTGCCCGAGTTTTCAGTAAGCCGTTGGAATGGGAAACAAGACGTTTATGAGTTTCACTTGATAAATGCCCATATCTGGGGGCTATAACCTTTTATCCAATCCTTGCGTGGAATTGTCTCTTCTTATTACATGGCGATCGGACAAAAGAAGAAGACATTGACAAAGATTCAGCTAGGCCGCCTAATGAGAATTAGCTTTTTTACTCGCATAGCAGTCGACCCCCTCTCCCCATCCCCATATCACTAGGCCATATAGCTGTGCAAGGGTACCCAGGGACCTATGCTGGGTACTCGGTGTAAACAAACATAGACAATCCAGCATATACATGCACAAGGCAAAGCCGATGTATGGCGGTGGAACCACTTTGGTGGTCAATCCAACCTTGAGTTGCTCTTTCGCCTGCACTTATTCCTTAAGCCCGTCGACCAAAGCCTTTTTTCTAATCGAACTGCATTGAGTATATATCTTGTAAGGGATGGCCAGACATCTTAAGCATTTGACGTGCTCTCTAGAGGTCCTCGGCATCGGAATGTTTCGGTTCTATAGTAGAGATCTAGTTTCTATATATCCCTTCTTTCTTAGATAGATATCCAAAGTAGAGATCCTAGTCATAAACAGCAGCAATTCTATACATCATTCTCTCCGTTTGGATTGGGGTCTAAGGTAGAGGTGTACCAGGGTGGCCTTGATAGTAGCACCGCTACTGGCGCAGTCGGGGCGAATAGCCATAACACGCGGAGTCGGGTGCCAATTGGAAGAGAGCAGTGCGTTCAGCTTCGCGGTAGTGGAGACTTTGTGGTATTGATAAGAGGTGGGAAGAATACTGATACCGGCGTCTAAAATGTCCATGTTCCCGGTTGCGCGCGTAGTTGCATAGGTACCTAGTAGTCTTTGACCACTTGCTTACACAGGATGTCTATTGATTCAATCTCCCAGTCCTTCTAAAAGCCCCATAATCAGGATGGTCGATTGGATCCGGTGGTCAACAATGGTGACGACTCCTGCCTCCTTCCTTCTCTACACCATCTACACAGCTCTTTCCTCAACCCCATCGTCTGAGTTAACAAAATCGCATCTCCCGCCCTTCAATTCTTCCTCTTCTTCTTCTCTTTTTCTCCTCTCTACCGAAAGGTGATTTCTTGCTAGTACCAGCTAACACGTCTTACCCTTCGTTGATATCCTGCTGCTTATTGCTCTCGATCCCCTACTTTCTCTCGGTTCTTTTGCCCGACCTTCCCTCCATTCTTTTGCCCGTTCTCTTGAAGAGTCGACCAGATGGCCCGTCTGTGTCCTTCTTCGTTCCCTTCCTTTTCGTCTTCCCTCCGCTCCTACTACCCTCCCTCTCTTTCCTCCAAGAAGGATCTGGTACGTCCTTCTTGTCCCGCCCTTCCTCCTTCTCCTCGCCCATCCGCCGTCGGACTTCGACACCACACTCCTTTGCCTGCCTATCGAGGCGTCCGTTCTTTGCGCGAGATGCAGACCGCCCCGCTGCAACCCGCTGTGTCCAAGGTAAGGACTTCCATTCGTTCCCTTGTTTCTGAGAAGCCTTCTGTTGTATCCTCCCAGGGTACGTCCGCTCCTTCCTCTGTGCGCCCTCGGGCCACGTCCACTCCTTCTGAGCCAGTTGATGCTCGGACTCGCCTTCGGGAGAGACGAGATGCCTTCGCGGCACGTGTTCAGCTCGCTCGTGACAGAATGGCGGCCGTGAGCCAGCGGGCCACATCCATTCCTTCTCGTGTGTCTCCATCAAGCACGTCCACTCCTTCTTCAGTGCGCCCTCGGGCCCCATCCACTTCTTCAGTGCGCTCTCGGGCGACGTCTGCCGAGGAAAAGGCTCAGCGGGCTCAAGCTCTCTTGGAGGCTACCCTTAACATTCCTTCATCGGTGCCTTCTTCCCCTGTGCGCCCTCGGGCCACGTCCACTCCTTCTGGGCCAGGTGATGCTCGTACTCATCTTCGGACGAGACGGGATACCGCCGAAGCCAGGGCTCAGCGGGCCGAGGCTCTCTTGGAGGTCACCCTTGCATCAAGCGCAGCTCCGTCTGCGGTTCGTAAGGGTAAATCCAAGAAGAGTGTCAGCTTCAATGAGACCACCACAGTCTTTACTGTCAGCCGGTGGATCCTCCCATGGAGAGATCAGTTCCGTAGGTATTGAGGAATGGGTTGTTTTTGAAGGCTTCTCTTGTCACCTTTTTGATTTCCTTGAGTCACTCATTTTAGGGCTTCGCATTTCTTGTTTTTTGTTGGCCTTTGGGTCGTCCATTCGTTTTTTCCTCTTGTATGCCTGGCTTGATTGTACCAGAACCAAGTCGGGTTCTCTTTACTGCTGATCAGGTCACAGATCGGGCATCGGGACGACATCGTGCACCACCGAAGAACGACAGAGACGACGAAGAACCACCAACATCGATTCGCTTACGGTTACCAACGAGTGTCTAGCGGCCGGCATCACCGAAGGACGACAGAGATAAACGCCCGAGTTCGACCCGATTTGTTTACGGTTCGTCGGAGTGTCTAGCGGTCGATACCATCGAAGGACGACAGAGGTGAACGACCTGGGAAGGCGTTTGGGGTTGTTGCGGTTTTGTGTCTGTTGGGCAGCAGCACGAGACGGGCAACCACGTCTTGTTCGGGTAACGGTCATCGGCGGTTCGACGGCGATTCGGTTTGCGACAACATTTCGATGTATGACAGCAGCAAACGACGATCACGGCAACGGTTATCGGCGGTTCGACGGCGCTTCGGTTTGCGACAACACTCTGCGATACGACAGGGGCAATCGAGTGGGGGTTTGGGATCGTCGGCGGTTCGAGGGGTGTCTCGTGCCAGCATCTGCCAACGTGGTTCGGAGCGTTGGAGTCAAGTCAATTTCAGTTGCTGGTACGGGTGTCGGAGGATCTGGGGGGGGACGTGTTTCCTATGTCTTTCCTTTGTTCAGTTGTGGAGGACATGTTTGGCCAACCCAACAGGGGGGTGTGGGTTAATGTAGGTCTCCTTGGTCATTCCCTTTGTTGCTTCTGACTATCTTGGTCCTACAAGGACTTGTATGGACAACTCCGGCGCGGGTTGAGCCTTTGTGTTTTCCTTTGTTGTTTTCGTGGTATCACTAGATACCTTGCTGGGAGGACATGTGGGCCAGCTCCAGTGGGGTGTGGATATTTGTAGGTCTCCTTGGTCTTTCCTTTGTTCGGAACACCTGGTCCCATAGATGGACTTGTATGGACAACTCGGGTGAGGGTTGAGCCTTTGTGTACTGCGGGGGTTGGGCTGTGATATGTCAATGTCACACGTTCTTCTTCCACTCGGGTGTGCACACCGCAGGCTTGATTGTAGTATTGATGTAGTTTCTGGTATAGTCGTAGAGGTGTAATTTGTCTGTGGCAAGCTCCGCAGTAAATATATTTTGGGTAGCCGGATTAGTAGACAAAAGGGACGAAAAGTGCTGTACATACATATAGACTAGAGTGTAGGTGGTATTTGTTTTTCTTTGTCACTTTCTCCATTCTTCGATACTATTTTCCTAGGCAAGTAGCCTGATGGTACGCTATACTAAGAATAACTTTTCCTGAAGTTCTCCCGTTGTTCGAGAAAAAAGCCGTCAACAAAGGATCATGGATCAAAGGAGAAGGGGAGCGGGTAAACTATCCCTAGCTAGGCTAGGCTCCCGGAAAGCTGAGTCAGCCCGTGGGTCGCAACTCCACATTGGGGGAAAACTCAGCGGGCGAGACCCAATGCATCTCCAGCAAAGCATGGAATAATTGAATTCATTCACTCGTTCATCCACTGCAGCCACCACCACCAGCGGTTTCGTGGTAAACAAACACTGGCCTAAATACCCCCCTCCCCCCC